TTTTTTCTTTCCACAGCTGTAAAATATTTAAGTGATTTTATTTCTTCCTGCCTCTTCATATCCTCTGTTTTTATTAGCTGCTGTTTTCAGTTACTGATCTGAGGAAGTGCTTACTTGGCGTAGGCCTTCTCCACCAGCGCGCTCCAAAACTCATTGCTGTCGTTAGAGTGACAGTACACCAGCTGTCCGTTCACCGTGGGGAGCCGGTCATCGATCACTACGTCCACCCACTCTCCAAACCGCCAGAAGCGGAAGTGGAAGATCCCGGCGTAGGAGTTCGGTTTGTCTTTGTCCCACTCCTGATCCTTCCAGTCAGGAATCACCTTTGGAAAAACAAAACACAAAAAACATAAAAACCACGGTCATCACCTCACTCGAGCTCAGACGTAACCGTGGTCTGCTCAGCTGTGTCATATCTGGGGAGGAGCCTCCCGGGGATCTGCGCCCTGAATCCAACAGGAAGTCGCCCACAGATGCTGTTTTGGTCATTTTCAGGCCTTTTACACGGCCTGGAAACATCTGCACGTCAATGTTAAATGAGATTCAGCACCACCTTGTTTTAGAACTCATTTGTTCAACAGCCAATTAGAATCCAGGGTATAAGACCTCAATCACACCCAAAGGAAACACCAGGACCGCAGCACAACGGTGCGACTGACCATCGCTGCTTACAGCGTTATTTATTTTACAGGTGATGTCCTTGAAGGCTGTTTTAAATGTAAGCCACATATTAAACAAACAATATGTGGACATAACAGTGTTTAAAAACATGTTCAGGTGCAGACAGGGAGCGATTGTGGGTTCTAACTCATGTAAAATATATTTTCTCATCTTTACTTTCTATTAAAAAAAACAATGTAGATAAACACAACAGCTCCACACAGAAAAATAAAGATTGAAATGAACGATTTCCACTCGTTTCCCATTAATGACATTCAGCGTCTCTGATTAACAGGAGCAACTCAGGATTAAAGTTTTTAACGAGCGAACGTCATCCATCCACATCCTGCGCTGAAACCCCAGCTGACAACACGTTGACATAATCCACACCCACACACACACACACACACTCCCCAGTGAAGTGAGTGATATAAATAAATAAACGATCCATTGAGCTAAGACGAGCCGGGCTCCCAGAAGCCCTCAGGAAACTCCCACCGTTCCCTGTCATACGTCAGCAGCGTTTCCTGTTGCTTAGCACCTTCACACATCACCTACCTGCTGAACACCTTAAAAAAAAAAAAAAAAGACCTCAAAAAGTATTTTCAAACATTTTGTACAGTCTGTAGAGAAAAACGAGTCTACAGAAAATGTCTCAGCTGTTCTGTGTTAGCTTCAACGTTCATGTCAAATATAAACTGCTTTACAAACACCTGACGTGTGTGATTCGAACGTCCGACTGAAATAACCCGAGCAGGGTTGGCTGCACAACCAGACGACTAACGAATGTGACCGTTACTGTCACAATAATCAGATGTTTGCATCGATCTCATCTCTCCTGCCCCCTCGTGCTAATCAATACGTCCCAACCAAATTACCCAGTGGGCTCCAGGGGGGATGGGACAAAATGGGAAAGTGGTACACCGTGATGGAAACTGTTGGGAAGGGAGGAGGGGGAGAGGAGCCTATGAGAATAGAGTGAGAGAAGAAAAGAGGCTGAGACTAGAAACTCCATCAGAGCTTCATCTCTTACAGCATCCATCCACACAGGCAGGCTCTTCCTTTCTGTTTATCCCAGGAATAAAACCTTAGAGATGGACGCTGATGAGGCCAAATCTCCCTCCAACACGATTGTGCTGGAGTTCAAAGAAGACACCGCGCTGACAGAGGTGAGGCTTTTACTTCTTAACTTAACAAATGCAAAACAGAAAAGTCTGTTGGCGCAATGTGTGGATGCAAATTTCAGAATAAAGTGCAACTGGATCAGAGCAAGTACAGTTTTTAATGTTTATTTCATAGAAAGTTTCATTTTCTGTGCAACTTTAGCTCTTTTTAATTATTATAATGTGGCGGAGCAAAATTTAAAAGGTCAAGTGTGTGATGGTAACAAAGATGCACAAAAGTCCCATCAGACTGACGTGTGATCACTCAGCTGTGTGGCTGTCACAGTGGAGGTGATCAGCTTTTATGACTGAGTTCAAATGTATCATACAGACAGAGGAGTGGGCTCGCTGCACTGACAGACCAATATGTGTGTGACAGACTAACAACACAGGGATGAGAAGTGAACAGGCTGACGGATAGTTTGCCAGACTGAACTTCACATGCTAAAACTCCTCAAACAGCACAACAGCACATATCTTTTGTTGGCTAATTCCATTAAATATGCTCCAAAAGGCACAGCTGAGAGGTCCAGTTCAGTGCGTGTGTTCATTAGCAGATGTGTAACAATCAGCTGTAACAGTCTGTGTCGGCAAGCCTGCCAATCAAAGCAGCCACACTAAAAACACACTTTAAAACATTTTAAAAATAGACACTTCAACTATCATCTCTTCTGTGGAGTTGCAGAAAATATTTCTAAAAAACTGATAATAGTTGATAAAACTGCAGACTCATAATTTTAATTTTATATGTGTGAACGGCACTTTGTATAAAATAGCCCAGAGAGCACATCATCCGTTTGTGCCATTCATCTGCTTTTCTTTTAAAAACACTGCTTATTCTCACACAAATGCACAAACCTTTAGGGCCTCATCACCTTCCCGTCATTATGAGTCTTATCACTGCACAGGTAATGCTGAGCACAGCGTAAAACAGCGTCACTCAGACACTGATACCGGCACCCAGACTGAAAGTTCCCTCCAAACCAAACATGAACCGACTTCCTGTGTCCTTCTTTCCTGTGCAGATGATGCGCCTTCGCGTGTCCTCCCTGCAGCGGTCAGGGCAGAAGCGTCAAGACGGCGAGCGTCTGCTTCTGCCCTACGAGGCCGTGTGTCGGCTGGACTTCGCCATCCAGGAGCTGAACTTCTCCCGCTGGTACTTCTCCCTCTCCGGCTACGGCCGCGTCACCATCACTGGTATCTGCCAGCACTGGACCCCCGACCTCACCAACCTGATGACCCGGCAGCTGCTGGAGCCCATTGGAACATTTTGGCGTAATGCCGGTGACCCCGAGGACTCGCAGCTCAAGTGCCTGGAGGCGGATATGCAGGAATTCGGCGAAAGGATTGCAGAGCTCGCCAAAGTCAGGAA